TATAGTACCCTAAACCCTAAACTCTAAACCCTAAACCCCATAGTAACTTAATTTAAGTTCCTTAATAGCAACCCAATACTCCATCCAGGCCTGCACCAGGAGCGTAGCCAGGAATTGGAGAAACTTCGCTCCAATAGCTCCCCCTAACGACTGGGGGGGGGGGTTTAGGGGTTGGGGGTTTTAGGGGTTTAGGGTTTACTTCAATCAAATTACCATAATATGGGTATTTACATAGTAAACAATACAGTTTCCTGATTATAACTATTATGTAATTTACGTCCCTTACCTCAGCCAGCTGTTCATGTAATCTCACTAATTCGGTCTGGAATTATGCACGCATGAGATTGCATGAAATCACGCGAGATTGCACGCAAGTTGTGTTCATGTAGCACTCACTCGCACGAGATCGCACAATGCAGACCGGACTAGTCTAGACCACAATTAAGGGATATCCGATTAACAGCAACCCCCAATCCCAGTTATGGGGTTGAGTACATGTACAATGCTGTAGATCGGGCTTCGCTGGAGAGATTACGGTTCAAGGCTTCTTGCCAAAGGCCTGCTTGAAAGTAGCTGACAGCATCCGATTTCAGGATCTGCAATCTAGGTTGAGGGTTTTGGGGCCGAGAAGGCAGGGCAATTTAGCTCAGCCTGTTGAGGGAAGGTCCTGACAGCCTTGAAGAGTGTGGGTGGAGGCAGGGTTCTTGTCAGCCTTTTTGCCCAACAATCGCTTCACTGGTGAGAGTCCGTGAAGACAAATGTTTATGTCTACGTAGTATGCATTCCATACCAGCGTCCGCATATCCTTGACCCACAAGCCTGTGGAGCCCTCAAACAAAATCTGAGCCCCAAACCTCACTCACCCTTTACCTAAAAAAACACCAAACTTGAAAGCTCAATCCTTTCAATCTGTCCACCATCGCCCTCAGACCTAGCCCTCAACCCTTAAACAGAAACAGTCCTCAACCCACAAACCCCTGATTGGGAACCCTAGGAAGCATTTAACTATAGGCATTTAACTTCTTTACAAGACGAACCCCTACCTCAATATTTGAATGCTTGGGTTTAAATGTTTCCTAATCCCCCTAACCTGACCCTGACCTACCGAGAAATATGCTGCCTTCTTGCGGGCTGCGTCCGCAGAGCGCTAGAGCTGCCGCCAGGGACGCCTATTCTGTTACAAAAAGTGGGAGCTTCTCAAGAGGTTCAGGGTTTAGGGTTTAGGGCTTGGGGTTTCTGTTGCAAAGTGTGGGCTTCTCAACCAGGACCCTCCTTGTACCCTTAATTGGGGGTATATGGTCCCTAATAGTACGTACTTCGACCATAATAGAGAGTAGGAGGAGGGTCTAGGAAGGGGTTCAGGGTTTAGGGCTTTTTGTGATAACCTAAAAACCCAAGATGAGGACAATCCCTATCAAGGAATCGAAAAGGGGTAATCTTGCCGACAACCTCATGTCATGTATTACAACGGTCCATTCCTCCCATGCTCTTTCCGGATTCTTTACTTAGGCAAGCTTCAAACTTTGACACACCCTAAGTATACCGGTATTTAGGGTTTAGGCGTTTAGGGTGTACGGGTTTAGGGTCTCAGAAAGAGGATTATAGGTCCTAGTTGCTGAGTTCCCTGGCCCCAAAAAGCTTAACCTTTGCATTATAATAGGACTATATATACCCCAAAGGGTTAAAGGTTACCTACCCAGCTACTAAGAGGTTCCTGCCGAGAATTAGGTAGGGATTCCCCTGCAGGGCTGGACCTCCAGGACGCCCGTCTCAACCATGGCAGAGGCTAAGACCTGCATGGAGAGGGCTGGAGATATCGGTTGTAGGGTTTAGGGTTTAGGGTTTAGGGATTAGGGTTTAGGGTTTAGGGTTTAAGGTTTGGGGTTTAGGGATGAGGGTTTAGGGTTTAGGGGGCTGGGGATATAGGGCTTATGTAGGGATAATGGAAAAGAAAATGGAAACTACTAACTACAATGGGTTATGTAGGGTTTAGAGTTTAGGGCATGGTGGAGGGGGCTGGGGATAACATTAGGGTTTAGGGTGGGGTTCAGAGGCTTAGGGTTTGGGGTTGATGGTTTAGGGTTCAGGGGTTTCAGGTTTAGGGGTTGGGGGTTTAGTAGGGTTTAGTGGGTTAGGGTTTGGTGGTTTAGAGTATATAGGGGCTATATAGAAGTATGTAGGGGCTGAAAAGAGGTGTGAGGAGCTTCTCAGGGATTTTAAGGCTTTGGCGTTGGGCTTAGGGTTTAGGGTTTATGATGCACGGCTTCATGCGGGCTTTGGCTAAGACCCTGAGGCTTACGTAAGTATCTACAAAAGTAACTTCACTAAGACACCCTATGATTTCCCTTATTCTTGCTCGGGTTGCCTCTACGCATCCCTAAGCGCTCAGGAGTTCAGCGGAATTTCAACACCAGAACCATGAAGGACCCAAAAGCCGAGACCTTAACAACCCTGAGGTCTAAGCTCTTGAACCACCATAATGCCGGGACGGAATTAGTTTCCAGTAATGGAAGAATACAAAACAAAGTGGAAAAGAACTCGGATAATTACATGGAAGCTGGGTTTGTATAGGGTACTATACAGGAAGCTGTACGCAGTGACGTTGGCATTGACGTTAGTTCCCTTTAGTATTTCTAGCGTGGCACTGTTTAGAGATTACATGTACCCCGACTTACACGCAGTTTCATGGCTACAGCTACACCTACCAAACCGTAGGTAGCGGGGCTACAGGTAGGGTTCAGAATAAGCCCACCAAACCCCCGTAACACAAACCCCCAAGACTTTAGATGCCCAAGCCAGTAGCACGCATTACTTACCTGGGTGCCTCCATGTAGAAGTTCAACGCCCGATTCTGCTCATGGATGTCGCCCTGCCAAAATCCAACTTCAAGAGAGCCTAGAATTGGGGTTAGACAGTTTAGCAGAAAATCCTGCACCGCCTGGAGTGACCTAAGTCCTGGGAACCAAGCGCAATACTTGAGGGGCTTCTAATGGTGCAAGATTTCCAGCAACTGGGATTAGGATGTCTCCCCAACAAATTCCTGGAAGCCAAATCCTGTATTGTAGGTGCTTGGGATGTAGGCAATATGGCCCACGTTTTTTGTTGATGGCGACCCCTACAGGTGGCGGGATCTGGAGATGTATAGTCCCCCTTACCCAAAGCCATAATTAGATCCTCATGCACCCATAGTCTATCTACTTAAGGGGGAGACAAGCAGACTTACCAAACCAATCATCGCTTCAGCGAACCAGAAGCAGGGCGCATGAAATTCTGCCATCCAACAAGCCCTCTTACACCAGAACATGACTGATGACTCACTAAGGGTCCAGGTGCCTAATTATCATATACTTGCCCAAAACCTGTGCTACAATTACTAGTACCCAACTCCCACGTACCTAATTCATGAGTAAGTGGACCCTTCAGGATTCAGGCATCGTACCTATAACCCCTGCAAGAAACATGGCAGCCCCTATATCAAATACTTACGACCTCAGAGTGCCCCTATACTGAACGTAGCAAAGTAGTTCCAATGTCCATGTCCTCGTTTCCTTACTAACTGCTTCTGACCCTCCAGGTAACGACTGGCAGCAGACAGCATCTCCTTGAATGTTCTTGAGTGGTTGGGAATCCCAAAGGGTCCATGTAGGTATATAGTACACACTCAAGGCCCAAAACGGGCTTCCATATTCCTACTTTGGGGCCCAAATATATACTACATACCTACGTGGACCTTTTGGGAATGCGGCTGTGGTCGTATTAGCCACATACCACAGCTGCTGTACGTTCCTGCAGCTTCAGCGCGCGACGTTGTCCAGTCTGTACGCGGGCTTTTCTAGACTATGTGGCACTCAGGACACCTACCAAGGGTTACCCCTTAGGTACCTACAATAGGAGTATAATAACCCTAAACCCTAAACCCTAAACAACCCTAAACCCTAAACCTATTATATGGGAACCGCAGAGGGTTCAGGGTCTAAGGTCCAAGTTAGGTCCCAAGCACTAGAGGGCCTGCGCTGGAAATCCTTTGCGGCCCTGCTCTGAGCCGCACTGGAAAGGGGTTTAGGGTTTAGGGGTTTAGGGTTTAGGGTGGAAAGCACATACACAGATTTGGAGCAAGTTTGCACCAAGCATCCAATGGCACTGAACGGCCAGATCAAACCCCAGGCCTCAGGGATTCAAGTGTACAAAAAATACCTACATTGGACTCCCTAAACAGTAAACCCCAGCCCCTAAACCCTAAACCCTACATCAGGCTATTTGAACCTCTAAGGAAAGTGAAGCTTGACTCTCGAACCCGAAGCCGCAAACATGACCCCGGCACTCCCAAAAAATATCAGGGTTTACGGTTTAGGGCTGAGGGTTTAGGGCATCTCGAGAAGGACGCATGAAGACTAAGACTCCGGTTTAGCTAAGAGGAGGGTAGGCCCTGGACTCCGGACCCTGCACCCAGAACCAATAATAATAACAATAGTAAGAATAGTAATGATGGCAGTAATATGAACATTACTAATGATAATAGTAGTATTGTAGTAATAGTAACAATAGTAAGAGAAGTCATGCACACCAAACGTGCAAATTTGCGGTCCCCATCTGCGCCTCGCCACCATCAGAACAGTAGAAGGCCAACCTCAACTGAGCCACAATTTGATGAGGGTATAGGGTGTACAGTAGGGCTTAGGGTGTTACTGTCAGGGCCAGGGGGGCTTAGCAAGTATACTTATAGCCCCTAGGACCTATAGCCACATAGTAATGCCAGATACTCCGATGATTGACATACGTACTCAGTCCCCCTACCCCTCCAAGTATGAGTTCAGAGCAGGGTTAAAGTTTGGGTTTTCTGGGCTTCCGGTTGAAGCATTTACCGCGCTCCATAGGGAGCAAGTTGCAGCTGGTTGTTTCCATAAATAGGGGGACCCCAACATAGAACCCAATATGCTGCTAAAGTCCTTCTTATTGTAAGGACCCCCACTTGAAAACCAACATTTCAGGGAGGGTAGGCTTGATTTGAAGCAAAGACTATCAAGGCTGGTTGAGCTCGTGGAAGAAGAGTGAAGAAGTGAATGGTTGCTGTGGTCTTTGGTTATCCCTTTTGCTGCGTTCAGGGCTTCTGTGGGAGCCTGCCTGAAGTTAGAGAGCTGAATTTGGGCTTTGGGACTCCAGCTGTGGCAGCTGAATTTCCTCATGATGCTCCGCTCTGTGATCCTGGGTGCCAAAAACATGTCAACAGTTTGCGAGGAGCTCGGTTTAGGGCTTTGGGCTTAGGGTTTAGGGTTCAGTATGCCAAGTTGGCCAAAGGTCTCCAAGTTTGTACCTTTGCCACATGAAACATAAGTTTTTTTTTAGTTCCTGTACGGTGACAGTTACTGTGAAGCTTTGCATTTTGTCACGAAGATCCCTTCATGGATAGTCCAATATGCTCAGGCTCATGCAGGACTTCGGCATTCCGAGACTCTAAGCCCGCAACCCCAATTCAACCAAACCTTACCCGAACTGTGCATGCATGAGCCCAAAGGGTCCATGTAGGCATACAGTATATACTTAAGGCCCAGACGGGTTCCTATATACCTAACTTCAGGGCCCAAGTACTTACTATATACCTACAGGGACCCTTTGGGGAAGGAATTGAAGTCGAGCAGCTCCGGTGCCGCGAGACCGCATAGCGCGGAAAGCGCGGCGGCTGGAACAGGGCTTTACAAGGAATAGAGGATTTGGTAATTTCCCTAAATAGGGGGACCCCAATGTAGACCCTGATATATTATAATCCTTACTATAGGGACCCCCAAGAAGGTACCCCTAATTTTGGGAAACGCCCCCATTTGGGTTTCAAGAAGGCTTGGGGTTCAGGATTCAGGTCCTGGGGTTCGGGGCACAAGATATTCCTGGGCTGCTGTGATGTCATGGGTATACAAGGTAAACAATAGGGTTTCCTTATTACGTCCTGATTGCAGTTTCTTAAAACAGTTCCTTAACAGCAACGCACACTCAGGGATGAGCTTTGAAAGCCATCTCGCAAGGTTTGCCTGGCCGCTCGTAGGCTGTGAGTATCTGGGAACCACTTCGGCACTACGTTAGTAATCTAATACTGTTGATACCGAAAATCCGTCAGGACCTTGATAAGCCATAGCATGGCAAGTCACAAGGTTTAGGGTACTCAGGGCTGCGTAGGAAGTTTAGTATCCACTGTAGGGAGAAATGCTTGTATCAGAGGAGCTCCTCAGCGTCTGAGAATGTGGATCCTGCAGCCTCTTCCCGTAGCCTAGAGCTGATAAGAACGGGCAAGTCCCCTTGACTCCTCCAGAGGGTCCAGGTGCTTACATAGTAGCATGAACTTGTGACACAAACGGCTTGCTGCACGGGTACGTACTTTGGGGCCTAAGCATGCAGTCCCGGGCCCCCATTGGGTTTAATGAAACCTTAAAGCCAGAACCAGAAAAGAAGTGCGGAGGACGTTTGGTGCAAGCTGGGAGATGCAGCATTACTGCAGAACAAGGACGCTCCCCCAAATGGTAGTTGCTCAAAATACCTGTCCCTAAAATGGCCATAACGTAGGTTCCCTGTTTGGTTAGGATCCCCTTTTGAGGAAATGGATTCCCAATGGTCCCTTCTTTACAAGGACCTTCAGAACAACCCCCCCGAATGCCTTGCAGTTCGCCCAAATCGTGAGGCAAAGAGCCGTCGCCCAGTCTCCCGGCAAACAGACCTGACATGAGCCATAGCCTAAACTCCTAGTATTTAGTATCCCCCTTAATAAGCTCTTTGATAGGAACCCTACATACTCCTAGTATCCCCCTTAATAAGCTCTACCGACTCTATAATAGGAACCCTGTATAGCCCCTTATAAATCCCACTTTAAGGAGTTTTGACTCAACTACACATGGAAAGAGCAGGCTTGAAATCCTTTAGACACAGGGACTGCTGATGTAGCCAGGGTACACAAGCCTGTGTGAACCTTGATCTGGATACCCCCGGAACTCTGAAGCCGTTAATATCGCAAGGGCTTCCTTTGTAAACACACTAAAGACACAAGCCGCTCTGAAACGCAGGTCCCTCGTGGCGCATGACGCTGACAGACAATCTTATGTGTCTAGCTTGGACTTCAAAAGCTCCGATGTTGTTTATGAATTTTGAAAAAACAGAAAAGGAAGGAACGATCCAAAATAATTACAGGCTAGGTATTCCTGATGCAAAGACCACTGCTCGTCATGCAGGACTGCGGTGTTGAACTTTGGAGCCGCTTGTGTTGCAAAGAAATCGCTATACCTAACCCATTTTGGGCTGCGTAACTCATCACTAATGGAGTGGGGGATAGGCTTTAGGGCCCTACACTAGGCAAGCTGCCTCAAGCTAACAGGGGACACCATACCAGACCCATGTACAAGAAACAAAACTTGCGACGAAGAGCCCCTTTTCAGGTTCCATGTTTGTTTAGGGCAGGGTCATAAGCTTTCCTAAACCTTGAGACCTGAATACGAAATGAATTGGGGTTTTGGGTGTAGAATGTTGAGCATGAGTCTTTGGGCCTATTGCTTGTGGTCCCAAGTGTGTGGAAATCATAATTGAAACTAGGCATGTGTAGGGGTTCAGGGGGTTTTGAATATTGAATGTAGGGAAGCCTTAAAACCCTCCACTTCCACATCTAAAAAATTGTAAGCTGTGCCGACTCTGAGTACTTCGGCGGCTGCATGACAATCCCTAACCTATAGGCATGTCAGCCCCGCCTTGATTTTACTTTCAGCTACTTACGATGCTCAGTCGTTGCCTCCCCGAATATTCAACCCCTCAACCCCTAATACTAAATATTCCAAGTGTGGAACGCAAAAAAAAAACATGGTGAATATTCAAGATTTGCGGGAGTGGCTTCTTCAGGCCTGGCTAGGGCGTGGCTGTTCTGATGCTAGGGACCTTGGAAGACACTGGTGGAACCTGGCCAGGGATGCATTACCCCACATGATTGATGGAAAATGAAAAAGTAGATCCCTGGGCCGTAGGGCGAGCAGCAAAAACCTTGACATATGTCAATCTATCCTACGGCCTGAAACCGAAAGCCATACACCGAACAAAACCTACACTGAAACCACCGCACAGCTGTTGGTCGCAAAGCCACCCCAAACATCCCAACCTAACCTACTTTCCATTGTTGCATTCAGAAAGCTCTTACTTGCAGAAAGAAGTATGCATTTCAGTATCAGGAACATGACTTTGTACTCGCATAAGTAGCGTGTCGTGGTAGTATCGGTGATCTTGCTGTAGTCTCCGTAGACCTATAACGGAAATTAGTTCCTTTGGATAAACTATATTAAGAGACAAAAATTCCTAAGAAGACGACAGTTTGCACAGTTTTCAAAAACCAAAAATGCCCTTGAGACCGCGCATCTGGAACTACCGGCCTCCCAACCCTGAACCATATCATAGGGTTTAAGGTTGTAGGGTTTGGGGTTTAAGGGTTTAGGGCTTTAGGGCTTGGGGTTTAGGGTTAGCAGAGACCTCGAAATATCGAAAGTTAATGGTCGATCCTCAAACCCTGACCCTAAACACTACAGTAAACCCTATAGACCTCAAATTTATCGAACTTGAAGCCCGATACCCAAAAAAAAGGAAAACGTATAAATTCATGGACCTCGCAGCAGCGAGCAGAGGCAGAGCGTGTCATGGTTCGTAAACTCCATCAGCGCAGGGCCTGTGATGAGGCGGTTTTGGGTTTGGGGCGTCGAGCTTTTCACTTTTTCATGCCTTATTCCAAGACCCTCCCAGTACCCTTTAATAAGGGCAACAGCGTACCTAACAGTAGGTACAAAGGCCTGACTAGAGGGTGGTTGGAGGGTCTAGGGGGAAGCTTAGTCCTGACACCACATGATGGGAAGATACCACGACACAGCTCATGTCGCACCCATAGGAATCGCGGCTTTGAAATGCACCCGCATAGGACAGATTTCCTAAGAAGGACCCAAGATAACCCAGAGGTTCCTTAGCAGGTCTGTTCTACAGGGGGGGTGCAGGGCATGTAACCGTTGTAGTCCTCTCTCGCGGGTACCGTGGGTATGGGGTTAATATGCCCATGACTATCATCCTTGTGTCTTGGGACCACCAAAAAGGGACCGCCAAATTCTTGTCCCTTCTATCACAAGAAACAGTTGGCAAAAGTGTCAGGACATCTCCGCGGATAAACCCTAAACCCTAAACCGGATGGTCAAGGAGCCAGGGTTTCGGTTTGACCTGAGTTACCCCACCTCTTGACCTGCTTGCTCAGGGGTTAACCTTTAAGTACCCACAATGGAAATATGAGGGAATCCCAATTTCAAATGGTCAAGGGTCTAAGGTCCCAGCTACATCCGAAGGAGCCTCTAAGTAGTTGTGCAACACATCCCGAACCCAGAGCCTGACACAGATGTGTAGCCCAGTGCCCGGAAGAGCACGCAAAGAAGCCTCTGGGGCTTCAAGCTTAGGGATTTTAAGGTTAAGGGTCGGAGTTTGGGGTTTGTAGGGATTCGGGGTCTAGGGATTCAGGAGCACGGGTCCGCGGTCAGGATCTATTGAGACCTAGGGGTTAGGGTTTGGGATTCTAAGGTTTAGAAAGCCACAGTTTCGGGGGTGGGGGGGAGGGGGGGTTCTAGGGTTTAAAGTTGAAGGCTGGGGATGGGGCTAAGAAGCTCGGCTACATCCCCAGCCCTATCAGGTCCTTCAATGAAACATCCGAACTGCCCCCAAGCCCTCGACCCTGACAGGAGAACTGATGCACCCAGAAGTGCTACAGCACTGTGCATTTGAGGTGTGTGTAGTCGATTCAATGAAACGAATGCATAAGGGCCATGACTCGGGTATTACCTGGTTCTGGTGTGGGATTTGTCCCTATCTAGTTTGTGATATATGAATAGCAAGACCAGCGCCCAAGAAACATGACGCCTCAAAGAAGAGCGGGAAACATACAAGTATTCATGCAGCTGTTTCTGAAGGAAAATAAAGGCCGCTCTGCACTCAGATCGAGATTCATCGTATAAGTCAACAAACACGGGTGCCAAATTTGATGCACTTCCAGTTGTTTTCGTTATGGAAGATCCTTTGCACCTACATGTAGTCGATGGCACCCTGACGGAGATACAATGCACCATGACCAAACCCTGAACCCTGAACCATAAGTCCTCAAAACTTCAGTTGATGTTTGGGTAGGGTGCGCGCATGGGCAACTTTCTTGCGGGGGTCTTTGTGAAAGAGTGTAAAGGGATCATGCTGAGAAATTGGTTTCAGGGTTTCGGGTCTGACGGGGGCCAAACTGCCTTAGTCCTCTAGCCTGCCGTGGAACCTCATATTAGCGAAAGGGGCCCATGACGTGGCAGGTTTGCCAAATGTGTCTGGGTGGGTGATCATAATCCCTCTAATTACGTCCTTAAATACTGCCGCAAGAAACCCTACATAAACCCCTATACCAGGACCCTCCTTGTACCCTTCATTGGGGGTATATGGTCCCTAATAGTAGGTACTTCGGCCATAATAGAGGGTAGGAGGAGGGTCCAGGTAGCTCATTTTCATAGGCGACCGTCCTGGGCAACCGGAAGTTATCTCGCCATTAGCAGTAATGCTGGCCAAGGGGCCAGGATGAGAGCTCTTGAAGAGCCTGAGACCAACTTGCTTTGTTGTACCTTTTTTGGTGTGTGTGTGTATAGATATATGCATATAGTCCCCTTAAGTAGATAGAATATGGGGTATATGGGGATCTTATTATAAATATACCCAAAGCCATACTCTATCTACTTAAGGACTATACGCTACAATGAATTTTCCCCATATAGTTATTGGAGATGGGTTCCTCTTAGGGAACAGGGTAGGCGACCCCTTATGTCCACTCTTACTGGTCTCTTGTTAACCCTAACATTGACGGCAGCTCACATATTCCCGCAAACAGGGGCATGCAACGTAGAGCCCAAGATGCTATACCCCTTACCATGGGGCCCCCCCAGGAAAAAAAAAAGAGGCACCCCTAATGCTGCGAAACCCGTATGTGTAATCGATACCAACACCCCCCCCCCCCTCGCCCAGGACCAACCAAGAGAGTGCGGCCACTCAATGCTTTTCGATCCGCTCTGCAAGGCTGTTTTGCTGGATAAGTTGACATCCATGCCACGGCCAATACTTAACCACTCCATATCGGTCATTGGGGACTAGAGGACCCCGATATAAACTACAGGATGCGCGTGCATTGTTGCCTTCTAAGCTGCGGTTTGTTCATATGAAGCAATACCGCCTTTGACCATCAAGTTCATGTACATAACGCCCCAAAACCCTAAACCCTAAAACCCTGGAACCCTGTAGTTTCTCTATCTGAACCGTAGTCTATACTCCTAGCATCCCCCTTAATAACCCCTGTAATTTGCTAATAATAGTCCCCTATATAATCTCCTATATAACCCCTTTAAGGAGTTAAGACTATGACTCATTTGAAGCTGGAGCCTGCTGGAATGCCATGACGTCTCTCTCAAACGTTTGGACTTTTCTGAACCTAGTGCAAGACCGCATGTAACCCTATGAAAATCTGCTGTGCCTACCTCCGCCCCCCACCCAACTGACCGCGACAACCCTGACCCCCCATCCCTCAACTCCAAACTCCTAAGCCCCAAAGCCCGAAAGTCTTTGAAATGCCAACACACACAAATCCCAAAAAAACATGAACCTTCTAACTACATCCCTCTACCGCCGAATCTTAAGCCCCTGAACCCCACGGACCCGTAAACTCTAAGTTAAAAAACCTCAACCCTAAAATCCTAAACACGACAATCCTAGTAGCACCCCAAAACATACACGAGCCAAGCCCTGAACCCTAAACCCTAAGCCCTAAACCTTGAGCCCTAGGCCCTAAGCCCTAAGCCCAGGTTTAGCAAAACACAAAACCCTAAGCCCAAAACCACCTTGAGCGCTAAACCCTAAGCCCCAAGCCCTAAACCTTGAGCCCTTAACCCGAAGCCCTAAACCTTGAGCCCTTAACCCGAAGCCCTAAACCCCCCACACCGCCGAAGCCCTGCAGGACGCCTGCCGATGCTCGATGGAGCCCCAGAAGACCCCCAAGCCATCCTACACTTTAACGTTTAGGGTTTAGGTTTAAGGGTTTGGGGATTAGGATTTAGGGCTTAGAGTTTAGGGCTTAGGGTTCAGGGTTTAAGATTTAGGGTTCGGGGGGTTTAATGTTTAGGGCTTAGAGTCCCGGGTTCAGGGCAGTTGAGGGTCTACCCTCGCCAAAAATTAATCTGGCGTCTTCTTATTGGCAATTTTTCGGCTCCTAATACTTTCCACTCCATTTTGCATTAGCCCAATATAACCCCAATATAACCCTGGCAGCTTGCTCTTCAAGTTTGGCCCGGGGTGTTTAGACCAGACTTGGCTCTGAAGTGCTCTGGTAGCGCCGACTAAATGATCAGAATAAGGTTTAGGGTTAGGGGTTTAGGGTTCAGGCGTTTAGGGTTTAGGGAGGATTTCCAACGATTTCCTTCCCATACTTCGTATTTGGACAGTAGCCGCGCAACCCTAACCCCTATTGAAACCCAAGCTGTGCAGCGATTAGAGCTTACCTGGTTCAGGCGCAGTCACTTCTTAGATACATAACCACTCGCTTCAAACAATTCCCATACAAAAGTGCTAAGTCGCAAGCATGAAAATGTCAAACTTCTCGTCACCGCCAAAGTTCCCCGAATCCCAGCACAGCAAAATGAATGCCCTGAACCTTATATAGCTCGGTGCGCCATGCCGTTTGGTTTTGGGTGAGTCTAGAAGGACCCCTAGCCCACTAATTACTAGTGGCCAAAAGGGATTATAGGAATCATATCAAGGTCCAAATCTGTTTCCACGAAATACCCACTACGAAATGGTTGGATTGCATGAGTACTCTGCTAAGGCTTGCGAGAGCATTTTCAAGAGGCCCAATGCAAGCATAGGATCAACAGGACTAAGTCTTACAAAGCTCAGCCGCAAAGCCCTTAAAGCTCTCATGGATCCCCGTTAACCCGAGAAAGAGGTCTACAAAGCCCTTTGACTCCTGATGTAATTCAAAGACTGTCCTCTCAAGACATCCCAGCAACGATCCTGATGCCCAAACATGTAAAGCCCTACACCCTAAACAACAAGCGTAAATCCTTAAGCTCAATACCCGCACGGAACCCCTCAAACCCTAACCACCAACCCTTATGCTCCTAAAACCTTCCAACCCCAGCCCCTGAACCCGAAAAAAATGCCAGCCCAAGGCCTTAAACGCGAGAAGCCTATTTCATATATCAAATACAACCCTCAAAAACTTGAATCCTGAACTATCTGAACAATACCTGCTCAACCCAATACCCTGAAACCCTAAACCCCAAACTCTAAACCCTGAACCCTAAGCCCTAAACCCGAAAGCCTAAACCCGGCCTCCTCCTCAGGATCTAGCACGACCGGAAGCGCATCCCACCTGAGAATCATGCAAGAAATCCACTCATCCTGATTAGGGTTTAGTGTTCACAGGATTTAGGGTTGATTGGATTTAGGGTTTATAGGGTTCAGGGGTTGTAGGGTTTATGGTGGATAGGGTTCAGGGCTTATAGGGTTGAGGGTTTATAGGGTTTAGGGTTTATAGGGTTTATATGGTTTAGGGTTGATAGGGGATGAGGGACATCTACAGTAGCCACGATGCTAGGGATCTAGAAGATCTGCCACAGTAGCATGGAAGCCCAAAGAAGCCTTGCATCCTTGGCAGCCGGCGGGTCGCCCACTTCTCACATGGCACTCGACTGATGACTCGGTCGCCACCGCCCAGGGCCTCCAGACAGCCGCTGCATGCCCAAAGGGTCCACGTAGGTATATAGTAAGTACCTGGGCCCTGAAGTAGGTATATGGGAACCTGTTTGGGCCTTAAGAATATACTATATACCTACACGGACCCTTTGGGATGTAAATCACCTTCGCCTCGCCGGCGCTCTGCGTGTCGTCTCAACAGTACGTTCGCCTCGTGTTGGTGGAGCAGGTCTCGATGGCGTAGATGACTGCCACCTATCTCAAGCCGTACACATTAGCCTTCATTTGCATCATTTGCAGGTTAGGCTTCCAGTTGCATTTTCACATCTTGTTGTTTGTTGCATGTTGTGTTTGATGGGTCTGATGGTGCGGGGCGCTTCATGCATGTGCTTAGCCAATCCTAAGACCAAACCACTTAACCCTTCAATGCACTTGAGTAGAGCCGAATGGCTGTTGCTTCTTGTTTCCCCACGCAATATTGCAATCTGATATTCAGGACTCAATAAGGCGGAAAGCGTGATCCCAAGAAGTCTTCACTTGCGCTACATCCCCCTGCAAGCCTGCAAACTCTGCACTAAAATGTTACACATGTGAAGACAAATTTCATCAATGTATATATATATATAAACGTATATATATATATGTATACCTTCATTATCTTGAAAAAAGTCAGATGTTTGCTTGTCCTGTCAGCGATGCCCGACATCATTGGCTCCTTGTTCATGCCAGATATTGCGAAGATCAGAGTCTGGAAGAATATACGAGAGGGCACGCTTTAAAAAGCCACCCCAAGCACTAGACCCGAACCCCAAAGCCATTTTCCTCCCGGAAATTACAGATGTACCTTTAACCCTAAACCCAAACCCTAAACCCTCTCTCCCTCGGAAATTACGGATGTCGCCCCCGAGGGAAAATTGTTAGCCGCGCTGCTCGTGCACTTTCGTCTCAAGGCGTCCGAGGCCACAGTAGACCTATGTACCGCTCTATCGGTTTTGAGTTTCGGGCTTAGGGGTTTGGGGTGTAGAGGTTGGGGTTTTGGGTCTCTGGGGTTTAATTAGTGCTGAGCGTTTGAGGCTTAAGTCAAGCTAGGGTCTCGACCCAAGCCAAAGCGGACAAAGTACCAGACTCAGAAAATCAGGGGGACTCAGTAAGTATATAGCTTTTAGCGATGAGGATCACTGGTGTCATTAATTGTGGTCAGCGGGCTATACTTATATGTGCTAAAACCCGAAACCCTAAACCCTTCATGGAGGAGATACTCGAGTGTCTACAAGAGAGTTGCTTGGATCCCTTGGCAACCTCGTGTTCTGTACTTGTAAGCCCATTGGGGTACTATTAGGGTCATATTGGGGTTATATTGGGAAAGTGGAGACTAAAAATGAACCTGTTATTTAGGGTTTACAGGGCTTGGGGTTTGAGGTTTAGGCTTTGAGACTTCCTAAGTGGACTAGGGGATAGCCAGCCGCTCCTAGGATTCGCAATTACCCGTGCTGTCAAGAATTCGAAGGGTGGGCTTAACTCGCTAGCAAATGCAACCGAATCCGCAAGCTATCGAAGCTGGGGTATGCAGCGGTTCAGGGTTTAGAATGTAGGATTCGGGCTTCTGAGTCTACGGATAAGTTGGGGCTCTTCAGATCAAAGTGCTACGGCTTTTACTATTCAGAGTTTGGGTGTGAGAATATGCGGCTTCGGGGTTTTCGGTTTAGGGCATAAGCTTAGGGCCGCAAGCTAGGGGGCTCGATTTACAAGATATGGGGAAGAGGCTGTCAAATGTGCACGCAGAACCACAAGCTAGGGGCTGTTTCGGGAACTGATTCTGGGTTAGACGAAGGTTGTAGTGAGCCAGCGGAAGCACTACCTATGACTCAGACAGTGCTCAGGGGTGTAGGCTTTAGGGTTTAGGGTGTGGGGTTTAGGTTTCAGGGTTTGGGGCTTAGGGACCCAGGACTCAAAACTCAAAGCCCTGGACCCTTGATGCCTCCAACGCCAGGAAATCGATCTGATCACTGAGGTCCTGCAAGGATCTAACTGATTTAGGCGAAATGGGCCAAAGAACTCGGCTGGGAGGTTTCTAGGCTTCCTGAAGTGAAGTTTGAAGTTCAGTTGACGGGCGTGTTCAGTCCCATTAAAGCTTGCAGGTCCTACTGGGTCAAGGATCCTATTGCTTCTGTGCCCCTTCATGTGTGGACGACTTTGAAGGAGCGAGGGGCAAGTCTAAGCTTCAGGATGCAGCGTCTCTGGGAGCGAGCACAAATGTTATCTGTACGCATTGATGATTTTAAGGGAGTTTTCAGGCGGGCAGTTACCAGGTGGGTACCCTTACATAGGGACACTCGGACTACATAAGGGCTATGCAAGGCTTATTTGGGGGAAACTACCTGCCACCTGAAACTTCCTTAGATGATTCTTTCGGCTACCCGCATTCTCTCTGCCTCTCTTGTGACATCAAGGCCTTGGGTCCAGGCGTGCTCGTAATTCCCATGGCCAGCACGAATGCCCCCTGCGACGCGCCACGATGCGACTTTTTGTGATGCGTCTCCTTGTACAAGAAAGCCATGAAGTACAATACCCGGATATACAGCCAATCCGAATTTCATATAGAGCTTGAGGATCGTAACTATGCCAAAAAGCTTGGTAATGCCAAGTGCAAGTTCTATAGGTACTGCTCACGGTCCCTCTACATGCACACTATACACACCCCAAGACGATGCCATATGGGAGTTTCTCACAATGATCCTCAAGTAGCGCCCTAGTAGAGGCACACCAATAACCCCGTTAAAGCCTACATGTCTCTGCCTACAACTTCGTATATCCTGAATCACCCGTGTTACCTGTGAGGTTCTGATGCTGTTTCTTTTTGCATGGTCCCCTTTTGGTGCCCTATATATCAGGAGCCACATAATTGGAACCCCGGAAGGCGGTAAATCCTAACCCTTGATGATCTTGATGTTTGGCAAACTCCCAAAATCCTAACTTTCTTGCTAAGCCCCTTAATCCCTAGATATCCCTTCCGTTTCATGCTCCCTTTACTGCGCAGGCGCCTCCAGTGTCTCCTGCACCCAGTCGAAGCTCCAAGCCTTCTGGGTTTATGGTAGGGTTTATTTACGGTTTAGGGGTTGAGGGTTGAAGCTTGCGGATATTCAGAGTTATTCGGGGTTCGCGGGTAAGGGCTTTTGGGCCTTTGTTTGACTTTAAGGCCTGGGCCTTGTTCAAAGCTCAGGGATTTAGGGTTGAGGGGTTAGGGATTCTGGTCCTTGGGACGCCTAAATCAGACAGACCCCCTAAGAAGGACCCTCAAGGGAATTACAAGGTTTCTGAAAGGTCTGTCCTATCAGACGCACCTAGAAATCCCACCTGAAAAACACCGAAGCACAGAGTCTGGCTTCTTCCCTAAACCCTAAACCCTTGACCCGGAACCCCGCACTCTAAACCTTGAACCCTAAAACCTGAACCCTGGGGCTTCTACACTCAAACGCCTTCAGAAAATCCTCTTCTGCCACAGGTTTGCAGGGTTTAGGTTGACCTCTTAAGCCCTTTAACTTTAGGGTTTAGGGCCCTCTAGGGCGCTTTAGATTCTGAGGGCTTAGGTAGCTTCCATTTTAGGCTTCACATTTTCAGGTACATGGGGTTCAGGCATTGTGGCATTAGCTAAATTTCGGCTCTCCTTTCTGATGTTAAGGTCTAACCGGGCTTACACTTGCCAAAGCGCGGACATGAGCTTACTGTCCATATTTCCCAAATCTTACTACTGCAATGGACATGGGCTCCTTATTAAGGATTCCATTAGGGACGATACTAGACTACAAGTCCCTTGCTAAGCCGAATATTGACAGTAGCTCACATGACATAAAACGTACCTCAGACAGCTGCTGATGTTCGCTTTTCTCACGGCTTGCAGCTTGACAGTGTTAGTGTAGAAGCCTGAATACTTACCGACATTACTGGGTTGCTGTTCAGGAACTTAAATTAAGTTATCATAATGGGTATACATAGTAAATAATAGGGTTCCCCCAATATAGTAACTTAATTTAAGTTCCTTAACAGCAACCCAGATTAAGGCCCTAGATCCTTTGCATGACTCTGGTATCCTAGCGTGGACCTCAAAATCATATTAGTAAGTATTCAGGCCTCTGTGTGACGGCTGGAGCACACAAAGAGGTCGCTTGGGATTTAGCTTTTTCTCCTGAAGCTGCTACGCGGCATATGAGCCGTAGTCAAGATGGGCATGCGTCATCATTAACGACTAGATTCGGGACTTTCTCAAGCTACCAAAAAGACCCCTACGTCGACCCATAATGGTCCCGTGGAAACCCAAAAATTGACAGTAGCTCACATCCCCATAGGCTTGCAGCAACAAGCCCAAAGAGCTTCACAAGAGTAACCTTAATCATCCCTACACAACCCTTATGATAAACCCTGAGCCTAAAGTCGAAATCTCATGGATCGGATCTTTAAGCTTACACCTGTTCTCTTGGGTTCTGAGCGGCTGAGTTGGTGGTGGTGTACATCAGCTCTGTGCCTAAACAATACATCATGATACAAAAGAGGCGGCATGTTCTTGCCATCCCGAGTTTCTAACAAACGCATCTAGGAATTGTATGATTATTTCTCAAAAAATAGTAGGTCCACGTTGTATATCCCTCCAAAGAAGTACGATGCTTATTCTGAAGACTCCCAAGAAACAGAGCCACCAGTTCGAGGCGGAGATTCTCCCCAAACCCTCCTCAGCCCCACCAAAGCACACCAAACCGCCCTACACCCAGTAAACCTTAAACCCTATAAACCCTCAACCCTATCAACCCCTTAACCCTATAAACCCTAAACTCTATACACCCCAAACCCTGTAAACCCTTTTAACTCCTAAACCCCACAAACCCTAAGCCCTATAAACCCTATAAATTAGGTGGACCCCCCACCCAGTAATAGTGACTATTATGGATAATAAAGAATATATTAGGGTCCTCTTATATTCCTATTATACCAGGGGGGTCCTCCTAACCTATAAACCCCTAAGCCGTGCCCTTTTGCCTCGCCAGAAGCCTCTGCCCAGGGTAGCAGCAAAGCAGAAAGCACCTCCACGGTGGCGCGTTACATGCGGAAGGGGAGCAACCCAAGGCCCAAGGCTCCAAATAGCCCAAGGTAGGTTTAGGGTTTAGGGTTTAGGGTTCAGGTTCAAGGTTCAAGGCTTATAAGTTTAGGGTATTACCCTAATAATGGAGAATCAAGTGGAAAAGCAAATGGACAAGACTTTGGGCTTCTAGGGATGTATACGGATCGAAATGACCCAAGGTAGGTAATATTTACATAGCGTTTTAGGGAGTCCAATGTAGGTAGTATTTGTACACTTGGGTCCCTAGAGTAGCCTTAAGGCTCCAAGGATCCCATAGGGTTTAGGGTTTAGGGCCCAGGATTAGGGTTTAGAGTTTAGTGTTGGTAAGAATACTTCTAGTACGGGTTTTGGGGGAGTGTTGGGTACCTTGAGCCTTAGGGCGGGAAGCTAAAAAAGCCCGAACTAGATGCACATGAGGTAACATTTATACACTTCAGGGCCCAATGTAAGTGATTTGTTCATAGATTTGGACGCCCCCAGGGAAAGAGCGACAGCGATAGAGAGAGAGAGAGAGAGAGAGACAGACAGACAGACAGAGAGACAGAGAAAGAGAGTAAGGCCCCCAACGACAGCTTCATTTGCCCTCGGCTTCTGGTTGCCTTCCCCCCTGCCAATTCCGGTGGTGCAATCCCTTCTCATGGTTGTACTGCATGAATTCATGAAAGTACCTCAGGCCGACCAGGAAGCACGCTTTGTACTGGCGGCTTTCGAGATTAGGGGAAGGGATTATGTGTCTTGGGGCTTTCCCCAAGCTTGAACCGTCTACGAAAACGCCAAGAAAACCATCGTGAGCATGCAGCTTCTTGTAAAACAGGTTCTCTCGCAACTCCAAACACGGCAACGACAGAGTGAAGCACGCAGAGGAGTCCTGACTTCTTGAAATGAGGACCAAACTGAGGATGTGGGCGCTAGGAGCTCTTTGGAACAAAGCTGTTCATACGTGTGCCATATCCACGAAAAAACACTGCTCACTGAACCAGCCGCTTATAGCAAACAAGTCCAGAGCTCAATCTCTACATCCAAGGTCTGATCTCAGTCTTGTCAATATAAGAGCACGATACCTACCTGGAAAGTATCCACTCGAAACAAGCTTGAGAGAGGGTACAGGTTCATGCCGCCCCCAAGTTCTCAACCGATTGATCGATCGCTGGAGAGGATTGTTCTGCCCAAAGAGGCTCCTCGACAATCCATCTAGCAGTTCCCTCATCGCATTAAATTATTGACATGTCTTTCATGAAAAGGTTTTGAGAGTGACATGCTTAAATCCTTCGTTTCCACCCCCCACCCTAAACCCTAAACCCAAACAGTTTTGCCTCGCAGCCAGCTGTTACTAGCCGCGCGAGCCCTGTGGAGAGTTCGGCACGCTCCTGTCTTGGGCTACAGGGCTTGTAGGATTTGGAGCTTAGGGCTCTTAGTTTTGGAGGGCTTAGGGTTTAGGGCGCGAGCTACAAGATTCAAGAGTGAGTACTACTTGTAGTGTTTGGAATTGAAAGCGGGTGGAACTCTTGGGGTTGGGACTCAGGGCTTCAAAATTTTTTGGGTTTCGGGTCCACGGTGTCGTAGAATAGGGCAATCAAATGCCTGTTGCCCATAGAACCAAAAGGGTCCAGGATCTCGCACAGCACAAGACTGCGCTGCTGTTCAGAAACTCCATTTAAGTTACTACAAACGGGGATACCATGTTTTCACTATACATACCCACCATGACAATGTCATCCTAAGCCCTAAACCCTAAACAGCAACCCAGTAGATTATACATTGCGCAAGTACCTAGACCATTTGCTTAGTGGTTGTAAGTAAGGAATGGAGGAATGGATCCCTATAGTAGCGCCAATAATCCCCAATGATACAGTAGCATCGATTTTCTTAACTTCCTTCTTTTTACTAACAACTAGCAAGTTTGGGGAAATGTTTTTTTTCAGGAAGCCAGCTTGCATCCCCTACACCCTAAACCGCGTCTTTTTGGGAATCCAGCTTACATCCGCCGTCACATGCAAAGTGTACGTCCCAGGCGTTTGGCTGCTGGATGTAAGTGAGAAGTGTTTTTGATGGTTGAACATGCTAAGCTTGTCTTGATCTTGAAAAACGATACCCGAAAGGACGACACCATCTTGCCCTGCACCGGTGCATATACTAGCCCAACGTGAACTACTACTCAAGGGGATCAATTACAACTGGGATTGTCGGGTGTTAGTATAGATTGGGCTGGGCCCCCCACCACTGATGGTGACCACATGGGATACGCGTAATTGAATTTGAGGCCAGATACTGCTCCACCATTACGGGGCACAAGTCACAGAACAAATATGGACTTAATGCAATGGAATCTTTTCTGCCAGGCTTCTGACAAAGCTCTATCTCTTGACCCTGCGACAGAACTGCTCTTCGACATGGCTTCAGTTAAGACCCTCCATGAGGCTGACAAAGTACCCAATGAAAATGTGGTTCTGCCGTGTTCTCGGGGGTAGGTAGGGGTTGTGAACGGGATAGTTGCTGCGCTTTTGGGGGCCCTCAAGCCCCAAATACTACAAGTCTACAAGGTTCAGCAGGCCTTGCTGATATTAGGAGGTTTCTCAACACAGGGACCTTTGAGAAGACATGGGGATTAGCAAAGGAGAAGACGTAGGGGGGTTCATATTAACGGTCGACATTCTGCGAAAACCCCTACCCCAGACCCTGAACTCTAAAGCCCTGCCTGGTGCTTAGTGAAGAATACAGGAATTGATGAATTCCTGCGTTAGTCACGTCTCCAGAAAAATCTCCAGAATAGTCCGTAGAACCCATCCACTCATACCCCACTACTTGTAAATTTCAGGACAGCCAAGTTGGGACTATTGAGGTCGCGGTAACTTGCCCATTACTACTCACCAGGTAGTCTGAGCGCATGGCCACAACGTTGATGCATTCAACCGCTAAGCCTGGCGCGGTTTCGGCATTGGCTAGATAAACCCAGATTTGGAAACTTGCAGGGTTTAGGGCTTAGGGTCCGAATCCATAAACCCAATTGAAGACCCACATGAGCTTCTGGTACCAAATTTGAAAGCTTAAATCAGTATTTTATATATGTATGTATATACCCTAATCCCCAACGGGCTTGGAAGCCGTATATCGCGGGACTTTAGGCCTTTGTATTAAACGTGTCTGGGCCGTTGGGGTATTACAGAGGCAGAGGAATGAACCGGGGGCCTGCCATGCATTGAGGGTACTCCTAAGCCCTAAGCCCCTAAACCCTAAACCCCTAAACTCTTAACCCATAGGCCCCAGAGACCTTCAGATCTAGGATCTTAATGCAGAAATCCACAGATCAAGGGTTTAGGGGTTATGGGCTTAGGGGTTTAGGGGCTTAGGGGTTTGGGGTTTAGGATTTAAGGTTTTAGGGTCCCTAAGCCCTGAATCCTGAAGGTCTGTTGTGTCAGGGGGGGTTTTGTGGTACGTCAAGTGTAGAGTTTAGGGTGTAGGGTGGGGGGGGTTCGTTGCTTCAAGCTGCCAGCTGTGACCCTACCAGGAAGCCCTGAAAGCTTAGGGTTTACGGCTTACGGTTCAGGGTTTAGTGTAGGGGATTTAGGGTACCTGTCCCTTGCCCCAAAAGAGCCACGCAACTTATGAGAAATCCTGAACGAAGACCATGCAACAACATGATGTTTTACCCCTGAACAACTACACATCAGGGCGAACTGATTGAATTGAGCTCTGATTTACCCAGGAAGACTAACAGGGCCTGTCTCATTCTGAACCGCTGAGAAAAGGACGCCGGCGCTGATTGGTATACATTCCAGAAAACGATGGAGATCGACGCTAGCAGAAATTTCCGGCACAACCATGTAGCCCAAATCGCACCGCAGCACTAAACCCCAAACTCCTCGAATTCGCAAACAACAAATAGTGACTCAACACCGACGCATCCTCAACCAAGACCTTCAAAATATGTACGCTAAACCCCGACCTGCCATACCCTAGCAGCGCAGCCCTACACGTACGAGCCAAAAGCCTTAAACACTCAACCCTAGGCCCTAAACCTAGATCCAGCCAAACGGTTGCCGGAATCACCGCAGAGACAGGGAATAGAAGCTTCCGTCGGCCTCCATATACTCAAAAATTGGGTACTTAGGGCATGGAGAGCGGTTCAGGGTTAGGGTTAAGTGGGTCCTTATTGGAGGCTATATAGGGGCAACGTTCAGAGAGAAATTTCCATGTTTGAGCCACGGTGAAGATTGCATCTGCAACTACTGGACACGGGAAAATGAATCACCACAAGGAACCTATGCCCACCCCTACTACTTACAGGAGCTGGAGTCTAAACTCCTAGTATCCCCCTTGATACCCCTATACTAGTCCCCTATATAGTCCCCTCTATAGCCCGTTCAAGGAGTGTAGAGTAACAGGAACTGACAGTGGCTCATTGCGGGTCTATTGTAGCGTTACAAGGGCTTGAAGTTTCAAGCTTGAGCTGGCGTCCCTCAACCGCCTCAACCCAACATCTATCGGGCCTGAGGTCTACATGGCGTTTAGGACCCCTACTAAGGATTAGCCCTTAGGTGCCTATAATAGAAGTACACGGGATTCCCAAAGGGTTAAGGGTCTAAGGTCCAGGCTAAGTCCCAAGGAGAGGTGTGGGGAACCATGGTGCTAGCGTAGAATGTCATGCAGGGTTGTAAGTACCAACAGCACCCCTTTGCAAGTTATGGTTTAGGAGCTTGTGGGTGTGAAGGTGGAAAGATTGAAAGCTTTCTATATTCCAAACTGGACAGCCGCAGACTTTTTACAACTTGAGCCTCGTGCGCTACAAGCACACTTTACAAAGGACTACCCTTCGGAGAGCCCGATCCACTTTCCAGTCTCCGAACAAGTGAACACCACAGCTGAAATTCAAAGCCCTGAATCCCAACCCTACAGCCTAAACCCTAAACCCCAAATCCCAGATCCTAAACCTTGGGTCAAAAAAAACTAAAGCCTGAACCCTAGACCCTAACTGCCAAACCCTAAATCCTAAATCCCATGCTGTAGGCCCTGGAGATTGAATGCTTGGCCACACCCAAAAAACCCAAAACTCCTACACCCAAACTCCTAAGCTCCTATGCGGGTTTCCCAAAACAAGGGGTACCTTTTTGGGGCGTCCCATAATAAGGATTGAAATTTCTTGGTGCCTATATTGGGATCCCCCTATTTAGGGAAACTACCCTATCTTTAGTCCCCTAGTTCACAAAAAAAGTCGGCCTCTGTGCCGCTGCTCCTTCATGCTCAGCACACAATGCGAGCGTCTGCGAAGCCTCCGCCAGCATTTCTGACGTATAAATGCATAAAGGATGAAAGTCTACAAATAGGGTTTTGGTTGGGTAATGCCCCCACCCAGTAACCGTCTATANNGGTCCTATTAAGGGCTATAAAAAACCATACTATATTTGTTATCCAACTGTTAGTGAGGGGGGGCAGTACCCAAGGTTTAGGATTGCCACGATGGTTTAGGGTTTAGGGGCTTAGACATCCAAGTCTACGTATATCACCTACTTTGGGCCTTCAAGTCTACAGACAAACCCTACTTTGGTTCTTAAAGTCCAGAAGGGATACATACTTTGGGCTATTCGGATCCCTTGGGTGGTGTTTGGGGTTTAATGGTACTCAGAGAGGAGTCTCCCGAAACGCTGAACACTATGATCCCAAAGCCCTAGAAAACCTAAAGCAAAATCAAATAACTCTGGCGTCCTCAGTCAGGCAGGAAGATCATGGGTGCAGCGATTCCTGCATACATGGGGCTACTTCGAGCCAAGGACAAGAGGCGTAGAACACATAGAACTATTTAGGGTTTAGGGCTTGCCAAAGACCTCCACTGTGGGTAGAGCCGCCACCCCGCCCGCCCCCACCCCCGCCGCAGCAACCCTAGCCCTCCCCTAAAGCGGCATGAGATCACGATGCATTCCGATTCCTAAAGAAGAGCAGATATGTATTTTCTGTTCATAGCTTCTTGTCTCACGAGACCCGCGAAACAGGGCTGAACATCTTGAAGCTTACATCACAATCCCTTGACCAAGATGACCAAGATCATCTAAAAAGTCTGCTGGCATTTACCAAACGCAACATGAGCAATTTTGGAAAAAACCTGGCAGGGACTCTTAGTCTTAGTCATTTTGCTCCCTGGATCCTGGCCGCATCTTGTGAGCTACATAGCTCCAAGGAAGGGTCTCTCTCAATTCTCTTAACCCCATATCCTAAACCCTGAACCCTCATCCCCGAACTAAACCCCGAAAACCCTAAAACCCCCCTCGACTGTCCGAAGCCCGAAGCTAGAAAGAGCGCCCCACGTCAACCCTAAGCCAGTGACCCCTCAAGCCCTGCAGTTCAAACTTACAACTCAAAAGGTAGGCGGTTTAAGGTTTAGGGTTTGGGTTAGGGCATCTTCCGTTCGTCCGTCATTTAATTTGTATTTGCTCTAGTCCGCTATGATTGTCTGCAGAATTAAGTTAGGTTCTGGAGCCCTGGAATCGTACGGTCTTGCATCACCTAAAAGTCACCAGCTCCTGTATTTCCCGGGCCCATGGAACTTTAGGTGGTGCCAAGTTTATCCATCAACAAACCCTCAAGTGGGTTGCCGCTAAGGAACTTGAACTAAGCTAAGTTACAATAGTCTTGGTGCATAGTAAAGAAAAAGGCTTCCTCATAAGAGCAACTTAGATTTAAGCGCGTCGACAACAACCCAGTAAAACCATAGGCAAGGTAGCACTCTGTGCTGCCTCTGATGCCCGGTACTGGAGCTGCTCCACATCCATGCTTGCCAGCGCCACGGAGACCTGAAGGCAATGCGTGCCCAGTTTAGCGTCTCAGGTGTAGCGTTTAGGGTTTAGAGACGGTTCGCACCTTAGCAGCGGTTTGGAGTGTGGGTTCGGCCATTCCCCCTCCAAGTAACGATTACCAGATTGAGTGATAAGAGTTCTAAACCGCTCTTAACACAACCCCTTTCGGGACAGCTACTCTCAGGGGGGATGACCAAAAGTGTAGGGTTTAGGGATCTGATCCCCTGACCCTGGAAATCTCTGTCATGATTTCCCCAAAAAATATTGGTGTGAAATGTGCTCGCACTCTGCTTTACCAGTATACAGCTTACAGCGTGGCTGCAGACTATGACGGGCAGGCTGCGGTCGCATGGGTCCGGAATACGTAGCGTATTTGGACTCAAGTAGGTTTAGGGATACCCTGGGCTCTAAGTCTAGAAATAATACTTACATTGGCCCCAGAATCTATAAGTGGATAATACCTACATCGATTGTTTGGGGCGAATTAAGGAAATACGATAGCAGTTTTCCATGCCAGCCGAGCACATGCATGGATTCATTTTCGCACAGTTGCTGCGGGAGTTCCACGTTAGCTTACAAATCTAAACAATCTTCGATCCTTTCTGGAAAAAACTGTAAGCAAGGAGTTCAGACCGGGTCACACAGTAGATGACTCCCTACTTGCTCAGGAGGCGATGTGCTTCTTGTTTCATGCGTACCTACAACAACATCTCGCCCCCAATCTCAAACCGAAATACGAGCCCTTGCTTGCAACCAGAACTGCCACCCCAATCTCTAACAGGCATACGTAATCCCCAAACTCTAAGCCCTTTTTACTAAGCCAGAAATAGTACGGGCTATTCCATTTTGATATTCCCTTAGTGTTCACTCACATTGGAAATTGAAGCTATGTCCAGCCAAGACCCAAATTGAACTGCCCAGCTCACTGCTGAAGAGGCCTCATCTTGGCGGTTAATCCGAGCTATCCTGATACTAGCGCTGGATGGGTTCCCCTTGCTTTCTTGGGCTGGGGTTTAGGTTTAAACTTTAAGGTCTAGGGGTCTAGATTCTCAAGTCCAAGAAGCAGGGTGGGAGGCCAACAGTGGTATCTTGAGGAGACGTAGCGACTTCCCAAAGATAAGCAGAGGTATGCCGGGAAATATGCGGATAGAGTTTGGACTTTGACACAAATCCAAACGCGATGTTGTCGGAGATGGCTCGAACACTGAATCATTTACAAAGAGCCTAGACTCATTGCCCTACCCTCTATTAGGGCATCAGTGCCCATTATAAGGGCCATATATGCCATATTATGGGCACCATGAGGGTCTTGGAGACTATCCTGCTTGGCGTTGTTGATTTCTGTTTTCAGCCCGTACCCTTCCCTAAACAAACATGGAACCACTCACATAGCCCCCATTTCAACAAGCTTGGAACGGTAGCCCCTTTAGGAGTCTCAGGTTAGCTTGGGGTACTTTCAGGCTTGTTTTCAGCCTTGTGCCTCAAAGTTTAAAGCATTGCGCGGAACGCTGGTTCGTCTCAGGGCTATACTCGGCCCATGCGAGCTATAGTATAAACTCCTAGTATCCCTCCGGAGTTGTGACTATAGTACATGTTGAATAACCTGTTACATGAGTACGACCTTAGGGTAGCCTTCAAGTTTCTCAATCATGCCTCGACTCAAGGAGACCTAACACTCTCAGTCCACACCCCAAATTCTGAACCTTAAACCTAAACCCTCAACCCTAAACCTTAAACCCTAAACCCTATATAACCCATTATAATATAGTTTCCATTTTCTTTTCCATTATCCGTATATATATGTGTAACAAGCCCACTCCGGGTCCTATCTACGAGAAGGACCAAAGCGGCAGTTGAGCCAGGCGGCCTCGGCCCAGAGAGCTTAGGGTTTAGGGTCTAGGGACTTAGGGTTTAGGGTCTAGGGACTTAGGGTTTAGGGTTTAGGGTCTAGGGACTTAGGGTTTAGGGTCTAGGGACTTAGGGTTTAGGGTCCAGGGACTTAGGGTTTAGGGTTTAGGGTCTAGGGACTTAGGTTCAGGGTTTAGGATTAGAGAGCTTACTTGGAGGTTCATGGGACTTAGTGACTACTTATAACTGGGCTTATAACCCTACTTATAATTGGGGTAACCCCTATGAGGCCATTTAGGGGGGTTATAAGTAGGGGGTTTAAGCCCAGTTATAAATAGATACTAAGTCCCATGAACCTCCAAGTAGGGTTTGGGGCTTAGGGTTTAGGGTTCGGGATTTAGGGTTTAAGGTTTCGGGAGGGTTTAGTAAGGTTAGGGTTTAGGGCTTAGGGTTTGGGGTTTAGGGTTCAGGGCTTAAGGCTTACTGATTAGGGTTTAGGGTTTGGGGTTTCGGGCTGAGGGTTTAGGGCCTAGGGATGAGGGCTTAGGGATCAGGGTTTAGGGCTTAGGGTTTAGGCTTTAGGGCTTAGGGGATTAGGGCTGAGGGTTTAGGGTTTAGTAAGGTTAGGGTTTTTTTTGGGTTTTGGGATTAGGGTTTAATTAGGGTCTAGGGCTTCGGGCTGAGGGAGTAGGGTTTCGGGATTAGGGATTAGGGCTAATCCATGCACTGCATGACATGGTATGTGGAACTTTACTACCAGGAGTTATAGTGAAGGTTGTCGGGAAGCAAACGAGTTCTGGGTACGTGCATTAAACTCCTTGTTGTAACTCAGTGGCCACTACTCGCCACATCCCTACAGCTTCTCCCCATAGAACCCCCATCTTGCATCAACAGGCTCAGGTTTGTAGCTTGCAGTTTAAATTATGATTAAGGCTTCAGCTAGCAGAGCCAGAATTGCGTATCGGGCTTGTGAGGATTTTGGTCCAGGGTTTAGGGGCTTAGGGTTTAGGGACTTAGGGAGCGTAGGGATCATACGGAGTACTGCAGGCGTTATGAAGCTTTGCTCGGAGACACTGTTGATACCAAATTTCCTGCATGCCCCTAGTATATCTGAATGCCATGATATAAGGTACTCCGGTTTCTGCCCGTTTGTTAGCGTCAACCGTATGACTGCGAGGCAAGATGAATAACAGCTACGGGCTCAGACTTCTTTGTCTTGCGTTCCTCGTTCAGAATATCAGGGCTTAGGGGTTTAGAGTTCAGGGTTGCGGAGGGCCCCTTGCTATTGTGAATGGTCTTGGTTCCCGTGCCGTGCGGAGGCGTGTAACGCAGAAACAGCAGACCAACATGGAGCCCCAAAAGAGGCCCAAATGAAGGCTGTTTAAAGGTTGCCCATATGCGCTCCATGTTCAGGGCAGAGAAAGCAGCTTCGCAAGCCTTGCAGAGCAAGTAATCTTGAACTTCTTGCCTTCCGAGCTCACAACGCAGGGACTACAAACCATTAACTGTGGGTCCTGAGGGGCTGCATGATCTGATTGTCCGTAGATGGCGCTGCCATGAAAAGAAGCATGAGGCTTAAACCTTTGAAGCTCGTGAGAAACCCTAAGCACTGGCACACATAGAGGTTATTCAAACATACATGTTCTCAAACAGGCCAGAAGGTAGGTTCTCTCTTTGGTTAGGATCCCTCGTGAAGGAAGTGCTTTGCAATGGTCCCCCTGCTAAAAAAAACCTGTAAACATCTCTGAACCCCTCACAACATGTAACTCTATCTATCCCTGTACTACCCACATAAACCCTTTAAAAGGATCTTTTAGAACAACCCCAGACCCTAACCCTCTATAACTCTGTCAGACTCTGTCTATCTCTTTGTAAATCCTATACACCCGCCCTAAAGGGACCTTTAGGAAAACACGCATATGAGGTATAGTCTAAACTCGTAATAACCCCCTTAATAACCCCTGTAATTACGTAGTAGTCCCCTGTATACTCCCCTAAATAACCCCCTTTGAAAGGTTCAAACCCCAAAACCAACGGAACCCTATAATCCCCTTTATAACCCCCTTAAGGACTTCAAACTCTAGGTCATACAAACTCTCAATCCCTCCAACTATAGGCCCACTATGCCAAAGCCCTAAAGCAAAGCGCCAGCCACAGCCTGGACTGGACCTTAAGGGTTTTTTTGGGGGGTTTAGGGTTGAAGGGTTTAGGGTTTAAAGGCTTAGGATTCAGGGTTTAGGCTTTCGGGCTCAGGGTTAAGGTTGAGGGCTTAGGGTTTTGGCTTAGGGCTTATAAGCCTTAGGGCTTAGGGTTTAGGGTATGGGACAGCCCCAGGCCTTCTACTTGGAGGTATTTGTCCATGTAGCTCTATAGTATATCCTCGGAAGCTACAGTGGGCTTCTTGTATTTACGTTGGCTCATAGTCCCCAGGCCCCCCCCCCACCCCCCCGCTCCCCTTCAAGTAGCCACCGAGCGCGCCGCTCATCGGCCATGATGTGACATCATCCGGGAAAACCCGGGCAATTGGTGGTCATGATTTGGGGCTTTCTGATGATGTAGAGAGCCTGCTGGATCCTGAAAAGATGCGCAGACTAGAACAAGATTCTGAGAGCCCCATTACCCTAAACCCTAAACCCGAAAGCCAAAACCCTGAACCCTCATCGGCGTAGTGTGCGGGCTTAGAAACTCATGATCTCAGTAAACCGCGCTCGGTTTGGGGATTATGTGTTTTGCTAGTCCCCAAGCTTTCTGTCTTGCTTCTGCGAAGTTCCTTGCGCTCTGTGCAATAACCCTAAACCCTAAAAGACCAGTTCCATTGGTGATATGCGCTGGACAAGGTTTGGCTGAGGCTATCCAGGGATGGCGGGGTGTAGGCTTATTAAATGCAGGGACCGAAATAGCCCAACGCATGTCAGGTACTACTATAGGCTTCAAGACCCGAAGCGGGTGTTATCTGACTTGGATCTTCAAGGGTAAGAAGCCTCGATAGGGCTCGGAGTCATAGGTTCGGTGTGTTTTTGAAGCTGAACGCTAAAGGTTATACCGTATTGAAATGCTACAAGCTGAGCCAGGTGTCGACAACGGCCAGCTGGTGAACATGGGCTCCCGATTATTAGGGTGTAGGGTTAAGGGTTTAGGGGCTTAGGCCTTAGGGGTCTGGGGGGTTTAGGGTTTAGGGTCTCGCGGTTTAGGGTTTAGGGGTTTTATGAAGTCCGGCTTTTCCCAAGGTTGGCAGGTCGGTTCCTTCAAGCTGCAGGAAAAATGGCAAGATTAAGTAAGCAATATTTGCAGGAGCGACCACGCATACTGCGTACCCATAAAAGCCTCAGCCCTAAACCCTAAACCCTAAACCCTAAGAGGGTTTTGGGTTTAGGGCCTAGGCTTCATGATCGTTGCTGCTTTTCCAAATCCTTAAGGAGTTGGTTCAAGGGGTTCAAGAGGAGTAGATACTAGTACCTGGCAGTCCCCAACATGTCCTAAACCTTCCGAATCCTTGTCAAGGCTCCTTAAGACTCCCAAGTTTAGCGGTTTAGGGTTTACTGGGTTGCTGTTAAGGAACTTTTATTTATTTACTATATTGGGGAAACCCTATTATTTACTATATATACCCATTATGGTAACTTAATTTAAATTCCTTTACAGCAACCCAGTTTAGGGTTTAGCCCGTCAAGGACCTGATAGTTGATGGAGGACATGTTGTCGAACTTGGGATGGCTGTAACTCTCAGAGTTTAGGGTTTAGAAGGACGCTGCAAGATAACATCCTGTAGCCATAGGAGCATAAATCGCAACTTCAAACCTCAAGCCCTGAGCTACTATCCTACTAGTCCCCCCTAACCCTGAACCCTAAACACTTGCAGTTTCCATGTTCCTTTTCATCGTTAACCGACTTACCCTCCTACACCCTCAACCCTAAACCTCACGTCGGTGGGCAGGGTATGTGGAAATTCCTCGAAAATCCAAGCCTAAACCCTAAACCCTACAGTCCCTAGATAGTGTTACTTTTGGGCCATTGGGATGCCTCAGGATTTTCGAGGCCATGTTTCGTATTTAGGGTTCGGGGATTACATATGGGTTTTGGGTTTAGGGTTCAGGGATTATGCGTTTAGGGTTGAGGGA